GAATGGAGGTACAATGAAAGAACAGCATGGGAATTCACATGTAGACTAGTGCTATTTTACTTTTATTAAGATCAAATTCACTCCCAAACTATTAAGGGACAAATTACCACAGTAAGATTTACAGCTAAATTTCCTCATTATCTAACCCTAATGCAGAAAAGGAAGAGAATCCTTAAATAGGTCAAGAATAATAGCAGCTAGCTGGATGTAGAAAGAAACATTTTAAAAAGTAAATATTCTCTTTTTAGCCGTTTTCAGTCATCTGCTCAAATATTTGCATTTCAAATAATCTCATTCACTGAAACTGACCAAGTTTTGAATGTGTGTCTACCTATAAACCAGACAACTAGCCTAATCCATACTTGTGATGGCACAGTTCTTCAGGGCTGCAACCACTCAACCAAAATCAGTATGGAATATAAAAATGTTTACTAGGCATGAGATCTCAGTGTCAGAACATAAAGTTTCACTATTACATTTACCTGGGAGTGACAGTTTCATGATAGAAGATTCTTGTACAAACAGCATGATTTGGAATGAACAGACGCGTAGATAATGTACAGGATAGTTTGGGATACCCAGACATGGGTATTTGTCTAATTTTTCATCTTCCCCTCCCCACCCATGCCAGATTGCTCCTCATCTTTTTATCAGAAACATTTTGATTTATCATTATGAACTGAACAACAGAACTGGTGTATTCTTGCTTTTCATCATCTCCCCCGAATAGCTCTGACGGTTCTAAGTATGTTCTTTTCATCACATACAGCATAAACGGATTTCACGACTCTATCAGGCTGCAGAGACATTCCTGGTGCAGATTATTGAAATCGGTTCCTGGGCTGGAATTGTCACTTTCTCATCTTCAGCAACAATTCAAACTTACCTACAACAAATAGTCAGTGAGAATGTGCGCCAGGACCTTATCAAATACCTGCCTACAAGAGCTGATGGAGGAACTAACATCTGTGCAGGCGTACGGCAAGGATTTCAGGTGAAGAATGTTGGGGGGCTTTACCTGGGAATACAGTAACAGAATTAGAGATATTGGTGGATAGGCAATGGACCAAGAGAAATAAGAATGATTCAAACATGGAAAATCATGACATGGAAAATCATGACTTGGAAAATCATGACATGATTTAAGAAGCCCAGTGCACGTAGTTTTAGCCAAAACAAGGTTAAGAAATGTCTCTCTAATGACATACAATGGGGAAGAAAAGCCTGATTTCTCTCTAATATAACCAGCAAAGGTATAAATGGTCCCAATGATTGGAAACAGAAGCTACACAAATTCGGAAGTACAGTACCAGTGGTGGGGAACATGAAGGGAGTACTGCAAAAACTTAATTGTGTGGAAGATTCTCTGTCACTCGGAGGATGTCTGCAAGGCACGATGCACTCCATTAATCCAGGTGCCCTGTTCATCTTGGTCCTCATGCTAGTACTTTTGAAGCTAATATAGTTAACTTGATGTATCACAGGGTGGCACTATTTAGATTTACAGTAGTTTCAAAATCCTAAAATCAAGACTGGACAGTTTCTAAACATTATACAATAGCTAAAAACAAAAATTATGGATTTGATTTGAGTTACTGAATGAGCTTCTGTGGCCTGACTATGAAGAATGTTAGCCAAAATGATCATAATGGTCTGTTCTGGCTTTATCTTTCTATGACTTATGACAGTTACTTCTAGCACCTTGTCAGTTTGTCAGCAGATGATATTTTTCAACCATGTTAAGTAAATCCTGTAAGATTGCTTTGTAGAGAATCAAGACACGTTCCAGAAATTAAAATCATGGAAATGAGGTTTGAAACTCAAAATTTACTCTTAGTGTTGGCATCAGCCAAATTTGATTCTGAAAATCAGTTTTGTGGAAATTGAGGGTAGATATGCCACATGTTTTCTGTGTAAATTCAGAGTCATATTTTATGACCTTGGTAAGAGAGAAAATATTTTAACTATGTTTGACTCCAGCTACTGGAGAGAGAACTGGATTCTGCCCTACTCAGCCTGGCTTGTGCATCTTCATGACAATGTTAGTTGAGTCCCAGTTACAAGAGTTAATTCTGACTTGAGTTATACCGCATAACCCTGTAACAACCCAGTGATTTTGGTGCTTCGGCACGATGGAATTTTCCCACCACATGAGAGCCTCTTGCAAAGTAAAGTGTTTTTGTTGCAACAGAAAAACCCCAGTGCAAGAGAGTTCCCGCCATTCGAATGCAAATTTGTGTCCCGCTATTGGCCAGTTCTAAATTATTCCTACGTGGCAGCTAGTAATTGGCTTGCTAGCCGTTTAAAATTTCGAGCAACTTCCGCCCAAGTCGGAGAACTTTGAGCACGCTGCAGAGTGCCTCTAAAGATATCTGACTTGCAGCTGAGCTGATCAATAGACTGATCACCTATCGATTCTTCTCCCCGTCGCCGAGCACAATCCTCGACGTACCCTTTCCCCGCCGGCTTAAATTGTGGACGGATTCACTGGCTTGGAAGGAAAGGGCTTTACCTTGAAATAAACTTAAGGCAATAATTTTCCTTAACGCACATGTTAACTGTTAGGGAAGGTGATGTTACCAATGACATTCCACTGCTAATGCTGTGGATCCTCTTCTCAATTTAGGTGATTAAGGCAAAGTTCTCAAACACAGATGGGTCTGAAACTGTGCTGCTGACAGATGGAGAAGACAACACTATGAGAAACTGCCTTGAGGAGGTGAGAAGCAGTGGATCAGTCATTCACACCATTGCTTTAGGGCCAAAGGCAGCCCCAGAACTAGAACTATTTTCGAAAATGACAGGTAAATACTTTTCTAATGAATTCTGCTTTGGCAGGCATATTTTAGTGATGAAATGCAAAAGCAAAGCACATTTTAGCTTGAAATGTGGAAAGAAAATGAACCTAGTTACTGTATTCAAGGCTCATTTGTAGAATATTAATTCTTATCTGAATAAAGGGAATATTTTCTTTTTACTTGCTTCTACTTGAAAAATAGTTAAGTAGCAACATCTTATTATGTAAAGAGATTAGATAATTATACAGTTACATGTTTCTTTACATAGAAGATAAGCACAGTGTGTAAGAACTAAGATTTGGTTTCTGTTGTTTAAATGGCAATCATCTGTAAACCTTCCAAAATATATGGTTATAATTTTTTTTTTCTTTTATAAAAAAAGCTGCTTTTTCAAATAGCAACAAACAGCGTGCTCTAGCTCAGGAGTCTGTAAGCACTATGCTAAAACGGTTAGGTCTGCCATTTTAAGTGAAACCGTGTGGATGCTGTATGATGCTGCAGTGGGAATTCCATGTGGTATTTTAGGCTCAGTTTAATTCCATGTTTCTTGAAGGTGTCCACAGCAGGTGCTTGCACCACCTCTGGGGGGAATCTATTCCAGGCCCTGGGGACTCAGACAGTAAAAAAAGTTTTTCCTTATGTCCAGCCTAAAGCAGTCTTCCAGGATTGTGTGACCGTTCAACCTTGCCTTCCCTTGGGGTGCCCTGGTGAACAGATGTTCTCCCAGTTCCTGATGCATACCCCTATGTATGTATAGGCTGCCACCAAGTAACTCCTGAGCCTATGCTTCTCCAGGCTGAGAAATCCCATGACTCTCAGCCTTTGTTCATAAGGCCTGGTCTCTTGCCCTCTGATCATGTGTGTGGCTCTCCTTTGGACTCTTTCAAGCTTCTCCACAACCTTTCTGAAATTCAGATCCCAGAACTGGATGCAGTACTCCATCTGCAGCCTCACCAGGGCTGAGTATAGCAGGAGGATAAATTGTTGGGTCTTGCTTCAGTTGCATTGATAGATGCAAGCCAGAGTTTTGTTTGCTTTGCTGGCTGCAGTATCGCATTGGTGGCTCATGTTCGTCTTGTGGTCAATCATGACCCCCAAGTCTCTTTCAGGCATGTTGCTAGCAAGTGTAGCACTGTTGAGTCTATAAGTGTGATGTGGGTTTTTCCTCCTGAGGTGGACCACCTTGCATTTCTCCATGTTGAATGCCATCAGGTTTTCTTTCACCCACCTTGCGAGCCTGTTGAGGTCAACCTGGATCACCAGCCTATCCTCAAGTGTGAACACACTTACCCACAGTTCGGTGTCATCAGCAAACTTAGTTAGTCCACTTCTGATACCAGAGTCCAGATCATTTTTAAATACATTAAAGAGTACAGGGCTGAGAACAAAGCCCTGGAGGACAACACTGGTCACTATGCGCCATGTTGATGAAACTGAATCAACAACCACTCTCTGGGTCTGACCCTGAAGCCAGTTCCCGAGCCATTGGACCATAACGATGTTGAGGCCGCAGTTCCCCAATTTTGCCATGAGGACATCATGGGACACCAGGTCAAAGGCTTTTTTGAAGTCCAAATATATGATATCAACCTCTTCTCCTTTGTCCAGGTGATGTGTCAGCTAGTTACAGAAGGAAATGAGATTGTTGCGGGTAGGACTTGTCTGACCAAAGTCATGTTGGCTATCTATCCCTCAGAATGTCTGTTCAGTCATGTCTGTTTGCTTTAGTGACTCAAGTTTGTATTCCTGGGTACTGTCATAAAGCAAAACATCTATTGGGAGGGTGGGATTCAGGATAAACTTTTTCTGGTCTGCGTACCATTACAGAAATGTTCACTGAGGGTCTGATCCAGTTTGGTCCCATAGGTACCCAAGCAAGATATGGGCAGAATTTTGGTGAATAACTTCTACTAAGTAATCCAGATTGGGCCTGCTTCACAAACCACAAGTTGAGGTGGCGCCTCCAGTTTGGACTGGAAAGTTTCCAGTGCACCTACACTTGGGCTTTAGAGCATGCTCAGAAGTGATCCAGTTTGATCTCTTCACAGTCTACATTCTGCCTAAGCTTTGTAGAATTCAGTTTGGTGCTGGGAAGCACCTAAGTCTGTGAAGAGATCTGATCTACTTACCAGGCTTCAAGCATATCTAATGCACACTAAATTCAGCTCCAGATCATTGGTAATAGTGCTACTTCCTGTAACACAATGACTTAGTGCTTTGACCACTTGGCCAGCAAGTGGGCCACCTGAGTTGTAAGCAGGGAGCTCCTTTAATTGGCAGAAACCAGGAAAACTGGAGGTATCTGCAATTGCCAACAAGTATTCTGTCAGCTGGGATTTCCCGCAAAATTAATCCCCAAACCCCGCAGCATATTATTCATATAATAGATTGTTTTAGAGTCTCCCAAACCTTACCACAATACTTAGATAACACAGTAATCCCTGCAGCCACTCTCATGATCTTGAGTCTCACTGACTATCTGTGGCAATGGTGGAGCCTATCTGCCAATCAGCAGTGAGGGGCAGGGGCACCAGGAACATGCCTGTGAAATTGGCCCTTTGTGCCATGAGCAAACTACAAAAATGGCTTTGTCTTGCCATGACTTAAGTAGGTGTCTAGTTATAAGCCTTCCTCAACCTCAGAGTATTCAAATGCACTTTCAGTGCATTAACTGCCACACTACAGAACAGACTGAGTGGGGAAACCTTCCCTCCTTTCTGTTGAAGCTGGGGCAATGGATAGTCAAGAGTGCAAGAATCAGGGGGCCTGCAGGAAGTCAAGCAGGAAGGAGGATCCTTCTGTAACCCACTGGTAATGGAACTCCCCTGGGATACTAAAAAACTAACTGGATATGAGCTACATCACACTAAGAAGAACTATTCATAGAATTCAACCATGTCATTTATATAGAGATGCTTTTCACTGCAGAATTTCACGTTGTGGGAATGACATGGCTCAGAGTCCAAAATTACCAAAAACAGCTTAGAAATGAGAGAGAACTGTACCTGAGGACACATGACAGCATGAACATCCTGTCAGATCAGGCAATATGAAATTTGGCTAAGAAGATTGCCCAGATCAGGGGTGCTGACCCTTGAATGAGCTGACCCCAACAGATTCCAGACCATCATTCCCACAAAGCATGCATGGAAGGCAATACATGCACAAGCTGAAAATTAATTAGATGGACTATCTAAATGGAGTACCATTTTAAGCACAAGGCTCACAGCAAAGATATATTAATTCCTATAGTTAAGTTCCTGTTCTGATCATTTTAACATTTGCATTTCAGGAGGTTTGCAGTATTCTGCTACAGACGCCCTGGAATCCAGTAGTCTAATTGATGCATTCAGTGGGATTTCATCAGGAAGTGGAAATATTTCTCAACAATCTATTCAGGTCTGAGTTTCAAAGTTTGTTTTGCCTCCCATTATAAAGCAGTTACAGGGCAATTAGGAGACATTTTTATCACTGGTAATCCTAACTCCTGCACTGTGTGGTGGCTCTATCAGTCCTGCTGGCTTCCCTTGGGCATGGAGACAGCAACAGTACAAACCTTCTGCCTTCTTCACAGGACTCAGTTCTGTGCAGAACATGGGATCTGCTCACAGTAGTGCTGTTATAGTATTAATATTACCCTGGCTCCCTTCTCCAGCAGTGGCACAAAGCCTCCCCACCCAGAGTATCCACTGAATTGCCATAATATCAGAGTTGTTCATCCTCATAAGAGGAAAATTAGTTGTATTTTAAGTATTTACCTGCTATCTAACCATAAATAATATTTCATTTGTCTGACAGCTTGAAAGCAAAGCTCTCCAAGTTGCAGTTAGTCAGTGGATGAATGGGTCAGTGACTGTTGACAGCACTGTAGGAAATGACACCTTCTTCGTAGTTACGAGCAGTGGGTCTTTACCAAGCATTTTCCTCACGGACCCTAAAGGAAAACAGTATGGAAATATTAACTTTACTACTAGTACTGCAAACCCCAAAACAGCTCGACTCACTATAGCAGGCACCGCAGAGGTAAAGTGCATGTTCTCTCTTTTTGTGTCTGTACACTATACTATCTTTCATGGAGTAAAGTGTATGAGCTATTTTTACAAGTAAAAAGGCAATAACAAAACCACCAGCTTCATCCTTCATTTGCTTTGCAAACCTTCTGCAGAAGTTGACCTTAATGTACGTGTCACCTACACTTTTATAACATTCTGTCAAAAAAATTTTAGGCAAGCCTACACAGCCCATCAGGCTAATGTGGTTAAGGAAACAAGTTTCTGTAATCACTGGGTGTGTCTAAACGTGGCTGTACCCAGGTGGCTGCAGCAGCAGTGAAAGTTGCCCCACTGGGAAGCTGTGTACACTGGCTGGGCCCAGGGCCATTGATGAATGCAGAACAGGTCCAGGTGGGACCATGGCGAGGGCTGCCCTGGGCAGGAGTGGGTGCGGCTCAGCCCCATGTGGAGTGCCGTGGGGGCAGCGACAGGCCAGATGGGGTGTGGGGCAGACTGCACCTGCACCACCTAAGTGAACTGTGTTGCACATGCCCCCTGCCACCCTTTCCCTCTGCCCACCACCGACCAGCTCCTGGGACCTAGGGTGCAGGCAACACCACATGCACAAGTGCACACCGCTCCCCACCCCTCCC